GCAATGGCCATTCTTATAACGTGATGATGATGATGATAATGATAATGAATATATACCATTTCCTTATACAGTTTGAAATCATTGAAATTTATCACCATTCTTTTATAAACTTTATTCTTTCTTTTGTAAAGTTTCAAGGTCTTCGAAACAGAAAACATTTCGCGCAAATAGATTATAAAGTACTTTGATGTATTCCAGCATGGGGGGAAAATTTGAAATTCGATTCAGACCTGCGCCTTGCGATTACGTTCGAAAAATCGAATTCTTTCGATCAGCGGAATCGAGAGCGCACTGTTTAACTCTGATGGAGTAGATAGCATAAGAGGGGTGAGGAGGGCAAATGGAATGCAGATATATAAGGGGGGGGGGGAACGAGATAAATCGACGACTTCTTTTACCACATTTAAAATCCAAATCGATCCTCAAAACAATTCAAATCCTTCGCTGTATCAAACATCGTGCGCCGATATAAAATGCATTGCGTGATGTATTACAAAGCAGTGAAATCGGCTATTTTTAAACCATGACGTGTACATTTGATACCAGAAAGCAAAATGCGTGCCCCGATCAGCATATTCGGTCGTTGGTTTCCAAACTCGAAGAAAAAAAAAGAAAAAAAAAAACCTCTTTTCCAACTTGGTCGTGCAAATAAAAAGTTCTCCGCGTTTAACTTTCTCACAAAAATGCATAAATATTTATCAAGCTCCATTTTCAAGAAATTCACGATCGCTGCACGCCTTCAGCTGGAACACAAAATAGAATGGAAATTAGTCGAAAGTCGACTTTTACGAATACTCGGGAAAAACATGAAGAAGGAAACATGGAATGAAACTGAAGATAGAATAAAAGCATACACACACACACACACACACACACACACATACACACACAAGTGGGTAAAACTACCGTGGTCCACATGTTCTCTAATACCCCACACGTTGCTGCTGTCATCTGTCATCGCGAGGACTGATGCAGGACCGTTACTGCGACACACTTGCATCAAAAATGACTTGATAATAACAGGTGAACTCCGAAAAAAGCGATCTTCGCTCCTTCACTCTTTTCTCCTTTTTTTTTTTCTTTCTTTCTTTCTTTCTTAACGAGCTACTTTTGGAAATCTTTCTTTTCTTTCTGCTGCGTTCTTCTTAAGCCTCTCTGATTGCTACCCAACCAACCAGCTCCAATCGTCTCCGTATTTACGTTGTATAATTTCTCAACATTTCTCAACATGCTCGATGATGATTTTGTGCGTGAAACGTTTCTTCCATCTGAAATTAATTACAACGTCGCATACAATCTTGAACAGATATTGTACATTTCGTTGCGACACGGAGTACTGCTTGTTTTCTACTCTGTCTTGTAAACAAACATGACATTTCAATGAACGTTTTCGTTATCTATTAACGTTGTCACACGTTATATTACGAGCCGCCGAGAGAGAAGTTTTCGATACAGAAAAAGGTATCGCATTCTGGGTAACTTAAGGTTATCAAGTTGATCAATTTTAAAGCTTTACTCATCAGAAGTAAACTTTGATCTTGTTTGCACATATATTTAAAAATGATTTAGGCGCAGGCAAACGTGTCTTATCATCGGTATCACCGTTGAATTCGACTTATCAGCAACGATCTCAACGATCGGGAAACGTGGACAAACGATATTCTCAATGCGCATACGATCAGCAAAATTTGATCCACAATAGCATACGGATGAAAAGAATTCTTATTTTCATTAAACTTGGGAAGTTTTTTGATATTAATTTTTCAAAAATAAAATCTATACCTTATTTTAAAAATGAATGTTCCTTCCAGCGTGTGGTTTCCTTGTCAACATATTTCATATGCATCCGCGTGTTTTAAAAAACTTCAACTGACAGAGAAGCGAAAGGATGGATGCTGAAAAAAAAAAAAA